AACTTGGAAAGAACTAGTTTTGTATCTAGCAGCCTGTCACTAAAACAGATAATTTATTCCAGTTTCTGGAGTTGGCTTTATTTGAATGTATTCAAAATGCCAACGCTAACACAGTTTGACAGGCCGTTAAATATATATTTTATTTGCATTTGCTGGTGCAAATATTTCCTGCACCAGCAAAGAGCTATTAGACGAAAACTTGCCGTGTCTCAGAGTGTTGTGTAATGTGTCCTTTTAAAAGTCCAGGACAAAAGAGAAGTGCCAGGCCTAAACAAAAGAAACTATCTACAGCAGATGAAAAGTATCTATTTTTTTTGCACGACAATGATCCTAAACGCACTGCCAATGCAGTAAAAGCATGCCTGTATAGAAAAAACACAAAGTGGAACACCGTCAGTCATGGATCGGCCTCCCCAGAGCCCGAACCTCAACATTATTGAAGCAGTGTGGGATCATGTTGACAGAGAACAGAACAAAAGGCAGCTTTGATTGCCCTTAAAGAAGCCTATTCCTGAAGACTACTTAAAGAGTAGTTATACACTTTATTTCCATGTAGTTTTGTCAGGTTTCAATAGATTGCTTCACAGATTTCTAATTTTTCAAGCAAAAGATATGAGAGGTACCTAAATGTCAATTAAACATTTTGTCTCATTAATGTCCATTCAGAAAGCTGTATTTTTCTTAAAACTTGGGAAATTATTGCTTGTTATTTAAAGACACTAGCACAATCATGTCAGCAAGACTTTCCAAAAAAAATTTAAGCGTCATTAAAAACAATTATGACTTTATTAGTATTCAATATTGTAACCAGTTTGGGGTTTTTTTACAGTTGGAGAAAACAAACAGCAATAACGACACCTACTGCAGAGCTCTTTTCTTCTTATTTGAAATGAACCTGGACTCCTGGCGTGACAAATAAGGAGGTGGATAAATGGGTGTTTAGGTGTGTGGTTAACCTCCCATGTGACTGAAGTGGCAGAGAGCCAGAACAAGTGTTGGCTGCTGCAGAAGACAGGAGACAGCTACAAAAGCAACCTCGGTAGCCAGCCGAGATCCAGCAGCTAATGTGTTTCTCCGTGTTTTCTTCAGATAACCAAAGCAGGGAGGGCCACATCCCTCGTCCCAGTAGACCAGCATTTTCCCAGTGGCTAGACATTACAGAGTAGATATATAACCAATCATTTTGATACCAAACGGCACACATAAACATGCTGACCGGTGAGATTCTTTCCCTGGTCAGCCTTTTACTCTGCTGCTATCTACTTCCCTGGAGACCTAAATCAATTTCTACCAAGACCCCAATGCCAGGTGCTGTGGGAATCTGAGTGTTTAGGCTTGTGCTCAGCTAATTTTGGTACCAAGAGGCCTCCTTTATCAATAATCTACCCTGTGCAGGAGCTGAGGAGATCGCTTTGGTATTTCTTTCAGTTGCTCTCTCACTGCCAAGGAGGACACAAAGCTTTTCCGCTTGTCCCGGTTCCATCTGAAGGGTCACTTCTTTGTGATTTTCAGGATTAAGCTGTCATTCAATCACAGTGCCGCAGTAGACGTTTCGTGTAGAAAAAGTGATCATTGTCTTACCGCACAACATTTAGAAGAGACGGTCATTGTCTTCCAGCAGAAATCAGTAATAACACCAGAGATTATGCAGATTTTCAGAGCTGTTCGACAGAAAATTTCCACAAGCTATTCATGCAGTTGTAAAGACGCACAGAGGGGAGGCAGGGCTGAGCGTGGAAAACAGGGCATCACGCTCTGCACTCCTGTCTTCTCAGATCATCTGTGAAGCAAATGGCCTGTCACCACACTAGCTGCATCAGTGTGAGCATATTTAACTGTCTCTGCTGTCAACAGACTGTAAAATGGAAAGCACTGATAACGTTGGGATACTAACAGGTATAAAGAGATGGCCGCGGGGGTGCTAGACGCTTATCTGCTCCCCACAAGCCTCCGGTCGGAAAGCCCGGGACGCTCGGTGCTGTAATGTGATTTGAGCAACACTCGTGTTTGATTGCCTCATCAGATTTGTTGGCTTTGAAATTAATGAGCAGCACACGCCAAGCATGCAACGCTGATGGTTGTTGGAAACATGTGATGATGATCGGAGTTGGGGTATGTAAGCTGGAGCCGGCGTTTTGGAAGCATGGACATCAAGAGGGAACTTTGTTATCATGTACCTTCTTGTGTTTGTGAGCCATTAAAATATATTTTTTATCTAAGCTCTATGCTCTTTTTATAATCCGCATATTTCCCTAGCAAAAATCCAGTCATACCTGAAGCCCTCCCCTCACAGTTACTCCTGCCTGTTGTGAGCTGAACCATTGCAGGCCTCTGATGCAGGCTGCTGTGCACCTGAATGATAAAAGCTTTGCTCAAGGGCATCTTACAGACAGTAGCAGAGAGGGGGGGAAAGGGAATTCTGACTGCCTGCTTTCTACTCCCTCTTTCTGAGGGGTCACACTGCCGTTTTTCTATCATGATATGATATAACAGTGTCTGCCATTTCTATTCTTCCTCTATCTTTTGTTTCCTAACTGGACAAGCCTCTGTCTGTATCCTCTCTTGTTCCAGTCTCTGGCTGATTGATGGGCCAAGTAATGGCCCTCCACACTGACACTTTTATTTGCAGAATTTACAGGCAAGCAGCACCTGCTGTGGGCAGATGGTTCTATCATCTCCTACAGTAGCCAGATGAGTTCATGTTTCACAAGGTACATATGGGCGCCATTTTAATCAGAATTCAGGTTAGCTTTTCAGCGGGCCTACTGCTTGCACCCATGTTTAAGAATCTATCCGTGTTTCCAACGCAGGAGTGCTGTGCATAAACATAGGAACAAGAGTGGAATTTATGGACTGCATATGTCCCTGTTCCTGTACAGAGTTATTAGCCATGTAAATCCAAGATTATGACATAATCATGTAATTTCAGCCCGTCTGTTCGCTAAACTAGTTCCAGCAACGACAGTGGATGGTCCTCAGCTCTGCAGAGCAAACTAAACGGTAGCAAGAAAGTACTCACATGTAATATCTAATGAAATAAAGGGTATTCAATTGTGATTTTGCCCCCCTGCTTCATTTTTGCTATATGAAACCTAACACTTGTTCTTTAATGATTTCAAAAAGTAATGTTCGTTTTTCCTCATGTTTGCTCATTGCATCATGTTTTTTCACAAGTTTTCTTGTGCTATATTTGTGGATGTTTCACTACATCCAAACAAGATGAAACCGTCACAGATTCTGTGGAAAAAAAGGTGTACTTTGCTTATTTTAGCATAAAAATGGCAACCAAGACAAGTCATGGGCACTTTCAGTTTGCCAGGTTGTGTCGAAAACCGAGTGTGGACTATGGACAAAGAGCTTTGGGTTTTGGTGGCATGGATGGAGCCACAGAATCACTGTGATACTTTGGTTTAATCAGTATTTCTGGATATAATTCAAAAAACCAAATCTTCTGTCAACTAAATTCAATTTTAGTTATGTAGAATGAAATCACATTAGTGGCTGCCTCAAGGCACTTTATATCGTAAGGTAAAGATGCTACAACAATACAAAGAAAACCCCAACAATCAAATTACCCTCTATTAGTTAGCACTTGGTGACAGTGGAAAGGAAAAAATGCCTTTTAACAGGAAGAAACCTATGGCAGAGCCAGGCTCAGGGAGGGGCCATACATCTCCTGTGACCAGTTGGGGGTGACGACAGTTACTTAGTTACGCTAACCTGCCATCACAATGAGACCTGTATCACATTTAGATGATGAAAACCAATAGAAATACCAATAGAAATATTTCTGTTGGCTTATTTGATGAGAGAGAAGCGTCTTATTATATTTTGTCTCCAGATGCACACCGTTCTAATGATGAGGACTTTGAAGATCCATCTTCTAATAGCTCATCTCTCCCCTAGTTATTCATTTAACCAGGGTTAAATAACCAAGTATGAGTTTTGGATCTGCCACATGAAACAGTTGAGTTGCTTCAGTCTGGGCTCAGTGAGGAAAACCTCTTCCTAGCAACCAGATTTTCTTTTTGTAGGCATCATGTGAAAAGTCTTTGAAATGGTTGATGGCTTTGACTATTGTTTTGATGCTGAATGTCTTTTGGGTACAATGGGCTGTTCATTGACAGGTCAAAAGCAAGCTTAAGATGTGCCCGACAGCATAATGGCAATTACTTTGCACCCATACTAATTGGTCATTTTGTCCATTTAAAAGAAACCTACAAAAATATGAAAATTGTACTGGAGAGGCTGAATCACATTTTATGAATCAGCTGAAACTACGTACAATAATTGGATCACTTTGTTGTTTTAATGCTTTGATATTTTTGAACTTGGATAATAATAACTATTTTCCAGAAAACATTTTTAAGCAGGTCTGAAGCAGCTTGCAGCCTTCATGTTTCCAATTAAAATAATTAGTTGATTTTTATTTCAACATGACTGTAAAATTCAAGTTAACTTTAATGTTAGATGCTGTGGAGCTACCTGGACAACTCCATTTTCGGTTTGTGCATGCTTCAGATAATTCCTCCCTGCATTAGGTGTCCATGTTCACCTAGTTGTAAAAGTTTCACTCTGTAAAAGCTTGTTTTTACAGAGTTGGTGGGGACACAGTTGTGAACTTAGTTATCTGCTACAGGCTGAGTCTTCCGGTATAGCCATGCCAAGTAAATGGTACTCAAGAGCAATCTGGTATATTTTCATAATCAATCTTGAGACTTTAAACTGCTGAAACTGTTGCAGCTTCTTCTCATTGGATTCATTTTGAAATACATAAAGCTGCTGAAGGTCAAGAAGGTGCAAAGTATGCACTTAAAACTGCCCTCTTTATAGATCTCATGTGTGAATGTGAGTAATCATGAAAACTGCTCTTTCTCAACAAATGAATGTAAACATTATGTTGGGTTGTGACATAATCTTTACTTTGCCGGTCTAACGGAGTAAAGTACACTCCTTGTAATCAGTTTATTTGATATATCTCCTTCTCTCTCTGCTCCTAGCTATCGGCGAGCCGGTCAAGTTGGAGTGGTATAACCCCCAGGGCGAACGCATCGTGGCCTCTAAGCGAATGGCGCTCCACACAGAAGCATCCAGATCCAAGCTCGTTATTTATAATGCCATCATCGAAGATGCGGGTATCTACCGCTGCCAGGCCACCGATGTCAGTGGTCACACCGAGGAGGCCTCCGTTGTGCTGGAGATCTACCGTAAGCTTGATAACACACACACACTAGCTGACACATTTACCCACAGATGCTCTGTGTTTGCTTCCTAAGGAGATTGGAACATAAGGACACGGAGAGAATAAACATCTCACATTAGCTTTTGATCACCAGGACAACCAGCTGATTCATATTCTCACCCTCTCCACAGCCACAAGCTGCGTTAGCTCTCTGTGTGTGCACATGCATCTTAGAAACCTAAGATTTCTAAGATGCATGTACCTTTGACTTTGTGTGTGAGTGTGTGAGTTAGACTGATTCTTGTGATTAAATTATAATGACGGCTAGCAATGCCACAGGATTTAGATCCTGTCAGGAATAATGAGAGATCGGGCACTGACTTACCTGCCCTGCTGACCAATCACTATTTCCTGGGCAAAACATTAAGTTTTTGTGTTGGTGGTTATAGACCTTTTTTTTTTTTTTTTACTGATTCCATTCTAGCAGTAATCAGTGAATTTGCATCTTTAAATTGTTGTTCAGCAAGACATCCGACTGAAACCCCACTAGCTTATTGCTGTGATTTAATTTAGAAATAAAACGAGAAAAACATGTTGGTTTCACTAAGATCATCTCCTGGAGCAGGGAGCTTTGTGCCACTTAGGGAAAATTACAGTGTAGATCTAAAAAACACAAACACATGTTTTATGCGGATTTAAGTGGAAACGAATTCAAGATAACAAAGCCTGACAGGTATAAAATAGCATTTTTACACCAATAAAGTGATTCCCAGAACTATTAGCTGAAAACTTGGCATATGTGCGGTGTGTACTTAAACAGTTTGGGGACACTGGACAAGTGGAGGACAAAAGAAGTGTCAAGCCTAAAAACAACTATCTACAGCAGATGAACAGTATCTAAAAGTCATGTCCTTAAGAAAAGGACATAAATAAGAAAAGACCAGCAAAAACCCAACACAGGACCTGAGAGATGCATCTAGCCCTTCAGCTGATCCATCCACTGTTCACTGAAACATCATGAGAAAGTATTTCAGTGGAAGGGTGGCTGTCAAGGAAGGGAAACTTGGAGAAAAGGCTGATTATCAGTGGCAACAAGACTGATGGAGCGATGAATCCAAACTGGATATTTTTGATTCAGAAATCATCAGTTTATAGAGAAGAATTCAAGTGACAGGTACAACAGTGAGTGTCTACAGCCATCTGTAAAACGTGGTGGAGGCTCTGTCATGGTTTGAGGCTGCGTTTCAACCACCGGTGTTGGCGATCTTGCCAAAATTGATGAATTATAAAGACAGAATTGTATCATCAAATTTTGATCAACCATGCGGTACCATCTGGAAAGTGTTTTTTTGTTTTTTAGCAGGAAAATGATCCCAAATGCACTACCAGTGTAATAAAAACACACCTGGATAGAAATAACACAGTGGTACACTATCAGTCGTGGATCGGCCTCCCCAGAGCCCGGACCTCAACATTATTGAAGCAGTGTGGGATCATGTTGACAGAGAACAGAACAAAAGACAAAAAAGAGCTTTGAATGTCCTTCAAGAAGTCTAGAGAATTATACTTGAAGACTATGTAAAGAAATTGCAAGAAAGACTGTGTTGAATAATAAAGTTGATCACACCTAATTCACTTCCAACCTCTGTTTTTCCTTATATGCTGCATTTACATGTATGTTTGTACAGATGTCAATAAATGGCTGCACCTGTTAGCCATTTTCCAGGCACAATCCAGTTGTTAGGTGATGACATTTAAGCCCTGCTTCTGGGTCCAAATGACACTGCGTTCATTAGGGCTGTTGTCTTTTTAACATGTTTTAATTTTTTATATTGTGTTCTATTTAATCTGAACAAACCCCTAAAAGATAGGTTCACTACTCCGTACTTCACTACTCTGCTTTGTGGGCTTTATGCGTTTTGGAACATTTTAAATTCAGTTGTCTCAAAATTAAAAAGGATTTTTCTGTGGTTAATTGTACTAACAACTGTGAGTAGAATTAGCATTAGCCTGGTAATTACTGCTATTCAAGAGAATTTGGTGTCAAATCAAGGTGTGAAGTCATTTAGTGCAACAGTTTAAAGTGGGTTATAGAAATGCAATTTTTTTTATTAGTCTATTTACAAAATGCTTGCGAGAGCATGGTTTATATTAAAAAAAAGATCATAGGTAGAACTCTCTCTGTTCGCAGGTGAGAGGACAAAGATTCCAAAAGCTACAAGCACAAAAGATTACATAAGAGCCAAGTGACCTCTGAGGTGTGAGTCTTTGATCAGGAGTCTACACAAAGTTTAATTGGAGAAAACGTCAAGGTACATGGATTTGATTCCAGAGCTCACTCACACACACAAACACACACAGTTATGTGTACACACACTCTGGAAATCATCACCTGCTGTGTGGCTGCCTTTTCATCCTCTCCCAGCGAACCATTAGGGGAGACATCACAGCTTCAATCACACCTGCCACCACTCAGCCTTTGCCTCATTCAACACATAACCAATTCCCTAAAACCATTGTTTCCATGGTAACCAGGCATCACTCACTGGGGTCCTCAGTGTAGATTCCATGAGCAGCAGGCGGATGAAAACCACCCTAAAATCCAGCCAGGTGTTCTGCCAGCACACAGTCGGAACAGGCAAGGTCTCCTCTGCACGGTGCACAGACCTGCGTGCTGCAACATGTTCTACATGAAATTCATGACCTGTGGGAGACCAACTGTTGACATCTTCTCAGCAGTTGCTGACTTCTCTATGATGGCCAGATGTAATCATGCAACACAGATTGTCAGATCAGTTTGGAATTAAAAGCTGGTCCACAGTCTGATGAAGTTCATAGACAAAGAGAGCAGTAGCTAGCAATGAGTTAGTGACCAATCTTGTGCTAACTCACATTAAATTTAGTACACACATGTTCCCTGAGATGGCAACTAATTAATTCAGGGATCCTCTGATTCATTTTGTTCCACCAAAGCCATAGTGAGGTTAGTGTTACTGATTTTAATTAGAACTTTAAAATCTAAAAGCAAATCTTGCCATGAAATTTTGACATTTGAGTCCTAAACAACAAGAAAAGTTAAGTAACCAATTTGCTTTTTATCTATAGTCTATCTATAAAATTTGTGCTTCTTATGCGCTATGGTTTATGGCCAATTAGCTACAGAAAGTGATACTTGGGAAATTTTAGCAAGATAACATATTTAACACTGATGCTCTCCATAAGAACATTATCTGGTTAGCATGTACATTTGTCAACGTGAGAATGTAGCATGCTAGGATTGCCATTTAAGCAAAAACATTGCTGTTCTGTGTGCTGTGCCTGCTAGCTTGATTTCTGTTAGTACTTCAGTGTAATGCAGTATGGTTGCTATTATATTAGCACTACAGTTTGAGCCACTCCTATTTTTTTTTTCATTTTCTGAACAAGTAGACAGTCATATTTGTGGAGGTTTTTCAAAGTTGTCTTTAGTGACCGCCAATAAGCTACCGTATTCTTAAGGGAGAGAAACAGGGTAAATTACAAAGAAACAGACTGAAAATGAGTTGCAACAGGTCTTATGGACTGATGAATCCAATCGTGGTGTTGGAGATCTTGTGAAACTGATGGAATTACAACCACAGAAATGTACCATCACATTTTGATCCAACATGCAATACCATCTGGAAAGTTTCTGGTTGGCAAAAATAATCCCAAACACACTGGCAATTCAGTAAAATCAAAGCTGCATAGAACAACACACAAAGGAACACTATCAGTCATTGACTGGCCTCCCCAGAGCCCGGACCTCAACATTATTAAAGCAGCATGGGATCATGTTGGCAGATGAACAGTTAAACTTTGAATGTCATTCAAGAAGCCCGGAGAACTATTCCTGAAGACTATTTGAAGAAATCACAAGAAAACCTGTCTATGACAGTTCAGGCTTTGTTGAAGAATAAAGGTGGTCATGCCAAATATTGACTATGATTGTTAGAAAAACTCTGTTTTTACTGTATATGATGTACATCCATAATGTTTTAATAAATAAAGTTTCAATAAAGCACTACAGCTATTTCTCTACCTGTTGAGCATGGCATGTTTTGTTCTTATCTGAAATATCAGCTTAACCATGATTGTCTGTCAGCTGTCACATTTCGTGAACCTATGCAACTTCTTTAGCAGTAAATTCTTCTGCTAATGAAGAATGACGAAGTGCAAGGTCACATGTACACATGTTATCTAGCTGTTAGTAGCATAGTAATTGTCATTCTCATGTCCTTTTACTCACCGAAAATAGTTAGTAATCCCTCCTCTGTTGCTGACTAAAATGGGATCCATTAAGGCCTATAATAGTGTTCCACCCTCCACACCATCAGGGTATTTATATTGTACTGCAAGCAGTTTACCTGTACTTGTTAGCATAACCAGACTTATGCAGTCAAAATAGTATAAGTAATGTAAGCATCAAAGTGATTCTTATTTCAAGATAAACCCTTTACTTTCACAAAAAGATGAAAACCTATTTTGGTGGCAAAAGCCGCAACATCAATTAGCTGGTGTAATATGGTGCTGTTTTCAACCGTATTCAGTGACAGAAAATTCATAGTCATTATAGAGTGAGCCAGTACAATGTCTAAGCCTTTCATTTCCTGTTAGTTTATTAATGGACAACGCAATAATGCTGCACAAGCTCATTTTCCAAAACCAGCTAATTTGGCCGGAACACACAGAAACAAATCTGTCTCACATTTGAGGCAGGTCCAGGGAAATTGGCTCGTCAGCTTATCAGACAGTTATCTTTGCAGTGATGTGTCTACGAACAACAGCAAAGAAACTCCAGAGTACTGAGTACATTCTCAATTCGCCAGTGTCAAGTGTGCAGTAGAGTGTTACTCCAGAGAGGATGTTACCCTTACTGATTCTCTTGTAGAGCAGCACGACTACAAAAGAGACAGGAAATGGATACAAACAGAAGGAACAAGGGACACCAGAAGTGTTCAAACCTGAGAGGGAGGCAGAGGGGGAGAAAGCAGATTTTGCAAATAAAAAGAACACATATGGAGGGGAGGGTGGATGATAAGAAGCCAACGGAGTGAATGACAAAATCACGCAAAGGCATCCTTGAAGTTAATGAAGACACTGAGATGCCAGACACGTTCACAGGCGGAGGATGCAGCCGGGGAGTGAAAGCTCATTTTGGGGAGCAGCCTGGCATAAATCACAGAGCAAAATGCTAATGCTGAAGCCTCACTAAGGGAAGGGACTGATAGAGGAGCTGTAGCTGATTTATTCACACCCTCACAATATAGCACGCTGGTGATAGCAGGTGGTTGCGGCGCTAGCAGAGCCAGCCCGAACACACATCAAAAGCCAAGGAAAGTGGGGTTCGACGAGAGCTCGCGTGAGATCTTTGTGAGGAAATGCTGGTCCAAGAACGGCGTCCTCGTAAAACACCCAATGTTTGCCAGGAAGAGGACACAGCTTTAAACAAGCACCAAGGGGAACCTATTAAAGAATGCTGAAACCAAGATAGAGTGAATCAAAGCCTGCCTGTGCTTTTGTCAAATTTTGCAAACAGTAAGGCTGCAGAGTAACTCTGCTCATTGATTCTTTTATGACTGGCAGCAAGTTAAAGCGAGTTACTTTTTGCTGTCACCTGGTGCTGTTTCATCACACTTGCCTTATCTGTGTCCCAGAAAAACAGTGAAAGAGGGATTAAGCTTTTGCTTTGTTTGATTTTCAGAGTAAAAGCGCATCGTCAGTTTGCACTGTGCATAATTTTTCTCCTGCGTGTCTTTTCAAATGCTTTCGGTGGGAACCGATGGGCATTATTTGACATGACAGCTATGCTTAATAATGTGGTTGTTGTGCACACAAGGGGTGTTATTGAGAATTCAAGCACTGAATGTCAACAGTGAATGTGTGCATGCTGGGTTTGTATAATATTATCATTTTGAAATAGTCCTATGGATAGCAGTGTTGGTCTGTCACACTGACACAATGATGTCACCTGTTGTATGTGTCACCTCAAACTCTGGGTTTTTTATGTTTGTAGTGTCTTGGATGAGGTGGATCTGATTGGCAAATTTCACATTCGCTGGTTCTTCAGACATGTTCTTCGGTGGTTCTTCGCCTTCTATCCTGTCTGTAGTCTGTCCTTCCCTTTGTTGGTTTGTTAATCCAAAAAAACTGGACTTCTACTGGATCCCCAAAGAAAAAAATAAATAAAAACAAAAACCCCAAAACATTGATGTCATACTCAGAATGAATTCCAGCATTGGCAGTCGTTCTTAACTAATCTTATGTTAAATCTGCTTAACTCAGATTTGTTGTTGCACCCAATAAAACGTTGTGGTAACATGGTTTATATAAAAAAAAACAGTTTGTCATAGTGGAAAAATTATGTTCTTGCTCTCTTTCATTGCTGTTTTTTTTTTTTTTTTTACTGTGGAGCCAGGTGATGCAATACCATAGAGCTGTGGCTAATTTAGAATGACCACTTAAGCTAGTCGTCAGCCTGAATTGGAAGCCATCTGCTGTGCAATGTCAATGCTAACTACTGTACCGCCATACCACCCGCCACCAATTATTGGATAAGAAGTAGAATGGGTGGTTACATTTGCAAAAAAGATCAAATGTTCACTTAAATTATGAAGTTATTTAAGAGAAACAGGAACTAGTGCAGGGGTGGGCAACTCCAGGCCTCGAGGGCCGGTGTCCTGCAGGTTTTAGATGTGTCCTTGAACCAACACAGCTGATTTAAATGGCTAAATTAGCTCCTCAACATGTCCTGAAGTTCTCCAGAGTCCTGGTAATGAACTAATCATGTGATTCAGGTGTGTTGACCCAAGGTGAGATCTAAAACCTGCAGGACACCGGCCCTCGAGGCCTGGAATTGCCCACCCCTGAACTAGTGGATAGCAGCTATTAAGTCATCGATATCAGCGTGTTGTTTTTTTTCCCATTTTTGCAGAAATGTGATAATGTGGTGCTTCTGTGCTAAAATCACAGATGGCTTTTTTTCCTTACCATCAGATCCGTTTGCAAATTAGGCTATAAATTGATTCAGATGTGCTACTTGACTTCATGATTTCAGATAATGGCTGCATTTTTTCTTGTATACTTACAAATTCAAGAGTTGTATTCTCGAAACAAAAAAGCTGTTGTACCTTTGCAGGGACTGTTCTTGCCTAGCCACAAGATGAGCAGCTAGTAGGTCACCTTAACACGTAAACCCATATTATCAAGAAATACAGCAAAGTACATTAAAATGTCCTTCCTCACAGGATACAGCCAAGATGAAGACAAGTGGAAGGAAACTATTTTTTTAAAGCTCTAACTTTACGTTTGGTCTCCAAATAGTCTAAGTTAAGAGGGCAGTAAAAGCGCAACAATTTCTGCTTATTTTCCTTTTGATGTTCAGACCTGCAATAAATTGTCTGTTCTGAATGCTCAGAGGGGGGAAAAATCTGTTCAATCTTCATCTTGTTTGATCTTGCAGAGAGGCTGACATTCCAGGATGTTCAGTCACCGCAGGAGTTCCGCTATGGTGAGACAGCAGAGGTGGTGTGTGACGTCATTAGCTCCCCGGTGCCCGTGGTGGTGTGGTACTACCAGGACAAAGAGATCACTGAGGAGCACCACAGTAAGTTTTGCCCCCCCCTGATTTCACGTATAGGCTTTTTTCATTACATTTCTTGGTGCTTTTTTTTAATTTTTATTTTTAATTGCCGTGGGAAATTACATCCTACTGCTCTGTCATTTGCAGTGACCAAACAAAAAATGGCTTGTTAGGTTAGCTCAAAGGTATTCAGAAGGCCTCAAGATCAGGGACACAATATAAAGTTATGTTTTGGGATGTGAAGTCTGAATTACAGTAGGTAATCAAAAATCAGTATCAATGACTGTTCTTTAAAAGTAATTGAGTTGTAATTGCCCAAAATTTGAGAGGCTTTATACTGTAAAAATATAAATAAAAGCAGAATCCAGTTTTTCAAATCTTGTGAGCACAAAACAGAAAACATATCAAGTGTTTAACGTGAGAAAAATGCACCATTCTAAGGAAAATATTTGCTCATGTTCAGTTTGGTGGCAGCAACTAGTCTCAAAAAAAGCTGCAACAGGGGCAACAGGGGCAGCAAAGGGCGATTAAGTGATGCTAAAAAGAAACAACTGCAGGAACATTTTGCAAGTGATTAGGTTAACTGGTAACAGGCCAGTAGCATATATAATATAAAGTTTTTGTCCACTGAGAGTAGTAAAGAACAGTTTTCTACTTTGTGCATGAATAACATGATACATCGTTCCTGTCAATGGTATCACGCTGATTGAGTTGCACGCCCACAAATGTGCAAAGTCCCAAGGAGAAGAAGATGGCTAAAAAACACAAGTAGGAGCCTGCTGAAAACTACCTGCCTAATACCTAATCCCTTTAGACTACCATGTTAAAATGTCATTTAGTTTATTTAGTTGCAGCATCTATGGCAAAGTTCCCCCTTTGTAAGACCTGTACTGGGATACATTAGAAATAACACACAAATATTTAACTGTATTAGACTAGTGCGTGACCAATACAGGAGACCGATAGCAGTATTTTGTATTTTTTTTCTTTCAGACACACAGAAATACAGTTTCCTAGCATTGGTTATATGTCGTTATTCATTTTCTCATCCTCTGGCTAAATCTGCTTAAGTTATCTGTTTTTTGTTTATAAGCATATAATGTATCTGTTTAATCATGTGTTAAAGGTAAATTCCTGTTAAAATATATACATATATATATATATATATATATGTATATATATATATATATTTATTTTGTGTTTAAGTGTGAAATGCTTTGGATCAAATAATCCCAAGTCTCTAGTCAAAGAAAGTACTTGGATAAAGTACTACTGATTAAGTGTGAATAGTCAGTGTGTATAGTGATATTGAAGATTTTAGTAATTTATGGTAATAATAAAAGTTGCATGTGAGTGATAATCTCAAAAGGATTGCACGACAAATGTAAATATGCCAAAAACACTTAATTATTGAGAGGAAAAAAAGCTTGTCAGTCTCAGCCTGCCCAACTGTTTCTCTCTCTCGGTCATTGAAAAGGCTCACTAATGTGGCAAAAATTCAGGTCTCTGGGAAATGCTATTCCCTTCTTTTGTGTGGATTCACAATAAGACAAAGGTCTAAAATTCTATGAATAGAAACCCCATCAGCCCTGGAGGGAGGCGTCTAACTCAGACAGAGACGATGTTAACAAGCAGCTGAGAGGACGGATTATTGAGCAGTTGGATGGCGACATTCGAAGATACAGCTTCCCATGAGATAAAATGCAAACCCACACCCTGCATCTTTTGGGAAAAAGCCAGCTAATGGGTGTATTTATGTGGCACTATTGTCTATCATCTTCCATCCTATTCGAGGGAAGGCTGATGTATGTCATTTATGAAGCTCTTTCTGGTAATACCACCCTTTTCAGCGCTAATAGTGCTAAATGTCAGAAGAGTAGTCTACTTAATATTAAAAGAAAAGAAAGATTCACTTTCAGTAACAGTCTTCCCTGATAGAAAGCAGGTGCTGCAGTTAGAACCAGCAGACTAGGACTCATTATTTCATCTTCGCCTCTTCCCTGATTTACAACTCTACACCGCTTCCCTGTCCTCCTTCCAGACAAAACACACGGCTGAACAGATTAGAAAGAGTGACCCCTTGAATCTGTCATGGTTTTTAATTGAAATTCAAATCTTCAGCAGCAAGGTAATGATGAAACATGGAGAAGAATGTTTTTTTTCCTTTAATCATTTCACTCTAATTACGCTTCGTGGTTATAAATATATTTGCTTGGGAGAAATGAGATAGAGGCCGGAGCAATCCAGGCCAATCTCCCAGTGGCCACAATAGGAGACTGTGTGGAACTGTAATTGTGCAAGTGTTTATCTGGGTGGACTTTATCAGGTAAATGTGCTGAAGAGAAGATTGACAGTCTAACTACTGAAGAGTGGAGATGGCAATTTTCTCCTGCTGTTTTTCTAACTTTCTTATCTCGCTTCTCTCCCTATCATACGCTGTTTTTCTTTTGTTATTTCCACTCTCCCTTTCTGCCTTTCTCCGGCTGTCCTTCTGTCCTCCTTTTCACGTGTGCTGTGAAGGCAGGTTCCAGGTGTTGCCAAACAACAACCTGCAGATCCATCAGGTGACCAAGGCTGACGAGGGTGTGTACCGCTGTGAAGCCAGCGTAGAGGCACGCGGGGAGATCGATTTTGTGGACATTGCAGTGGTGGTCAATGGTGAGTGAGGATTTTTTAACATTTACTTGAATTCGTGATGACATTCTGATGTACAACAATAACAGATTGTTTAAGGTTATTTCCAGGATTTTATGGGCAAGAGCAATTTTGAGGTCTAGCTGCCAACGGACCACAATAACCAAGATTTCTGCAGTAAAAAATCAAGTGTGGTCTACTGGCATCTTCAGGGAGGACACAAAACTAAAATCAGGGTAAATGGGCAAGGACGTGCAGACTGAGATTCAGTTCACCCAAATAAAAAATATCCATAGTGCTAAAAACTTTGTTTTTCCTAATAGTCAGTGTAACGGCTACAAAACAGCTGACAGTTTAGTGCTGTAAAGTCTGAACATACATACAGATACGGCACAGTGCTGCTTGTTTAGCAGTTGGAAAGTTGTTGTAGATTAAAATAGACACATTGCTGATACATGCTGACATATCGGGGTGCCAGAACTTCAGTGCAATTTAACAGGGACGTTTTTGTGTGCATCTGTGCTCAGTATAGCTTGACAGTTGGGGAATTTGTCAGTGACAGATTGGGAAAAGTTTAGCAATGTGGATAGCAAGAAAAATTAGCTTTTTTAATGGATTAGGGCGATGGAGGGATTCCCCTGCTTTAATTTCTGCCTCAGCGCTTCCAAGGGTGTGCTGGAGTTGTAACAGTGGTAGAATTTTAAACTTGATACCAGTAACCAGGAAAAAACAAATCACAAAAATTATGAGGCCTTTAAAACAAAAGATTACAACAGCAAAGAATAACAAGGGCAACACTGTGTTGTGTATGTCTAAAGTGTCCAAATATCCAAGTGTAGTAACACAGGTATAAGATACGGTCACTCTGGAAGTACCGCCCTTGCTTGACTTACCCCCCAATAAATGGTTATTAAAGGAATTCAGCTGTACTCATTCCAGCTACAGGTCCCCAAACGAGTTCGGTATTGTTATTTTTCATCATAAGTCCTCTGAACTGAGATTGGGTAATTTGTGTGACTGCTGGCTTCCTTGGATATAGTAGCTGTGTCCAAGGGTTCCTCTACAGGATTAAATCCGGATTCCTTGTTACTCATGGCCACAATGGCACGCACATAAAGTACCATCAAGAGATGATTGGGCAGACATTTAGTTTAATTCAATTCAGTTCAAATCAGTTTTGTTTATATAGCATCAAATCAGGAGGAGTCAGCTCACGCCACTTTATGTTGTATCATAAAGGCCCTATAATAATACAGAGATAGGAGAAGGAAAAACTCGCTTTAAACAGGAAGAAACCTCAGAACCAGGCTTGGAGAGGGACAGCCATTTGCTGCGACCGGTTGGGGGTGATGACAGTTACTTAGTTACTCAAAATTGCCATCAACAACGAGACCTGTATCACATTCAGATGACATACCCTCTCTAATCCTACCGGTTGAGGGGAGGAAGACAAATTCAAATGAGACGGAGATGTCTCATTTGAATCTCAGAGGATTCTCTTAGATAGTGCAAAAATCAAAAAAACTAAATCACCAGTATTATTAGACTGCTGGGCATCTGTGCTGTGGGTGACTTGACATCATATTTGGACTGGTACTTATTTAGTGCTTTTCTAAGTGCTTGCTTACTGCAAGCCTCATTCAACCATTCACACAAGTGCTTTAATGTTAACCAATACTTTAACCAATACTTTAATGTGTATCCAATACTGATACTTTGACTTGGAGACTAAAGGAGCCAGGAACTGAACCACCAACCACTTTTGTTTCATAGCTATTAGCCAACATTGTACTGACTACAAACTCAGCTGAAGAGTAATTGTGATGATGGAACTTTAAAGGAAGCTTTGCAGATTTGCAGACCATGCTCCTGTACACATAGTATCAATAGATTAGCATACATTAAGGTATGAGTTTCCTCTCTGCAGTATTGTTGTTGTTGAACGTCTTTCATTCTTTTTATTTTTGCACTTACAAAACCTTAAGGGTTCCAGGTGCCCAAGGTTAAAAACATAATACCTGATCAAGGTTAGATTAGCAGTACCTTTTCTCTATGACTGCAAAAAAAGATAAAATATAACAAGGTATCATTCGTATAATTAATTAGCACTAATTTGGTTCCTTTAATTTTTTTGTTTTCCAGTTTGTTGTTGTTAAGTCTGGAGACCAGGGGTAAAATAGCTGCATCCTGTAAGCTGTCAGTTTGTTAACAGTTACTTAAGATTAGTAGAGTATTATAGCATGAAGCTGACATATTTCACTGAGTGTTTGCAGAGTTTTGATCATCTGCAGAGTGAAGGCAGTGACTCTGAAACAGCTCCTACAGTCGTGCAGCCACTCAGATGGAAATTCATGTTGAATGCATGGACCTGTAGTTGTAGTATCAGAAAATAGCTGTCAGCTGTGACAGATTCAGTTTCAGTGAATTATAAATACTTACTAGCTGGTCTACTGGCTACTATGGGGTGTGGTTTTAGTTTGTAATTCTCTCTGTTCTTTAGTATGATTGAAAATTTTAATTAGCGATGCCTTCGGGCTCTGTGGCCCCAAAAATCGAAGGATGTCATATTAATTTTCTCATTTGTCCTCATTTACCGTGAGTCACCTGAGACTGTTGAGATGATTGAAATGTGATTTTACTACGGCCACAAGCATCTTGTAACGGTTGAACAGCTGCAGTATTGTCTCTGCCTATGTAATTCTCTCACTCCTAATGTAATAGCAGATCAAGCCTCCGCCAAAAACTATGAATTGCATTCAATTTAGCACACCACTTACCTCACTTCTGAGGAAGATCCAATAAGCTTGCTCAATGAGGCACGACCTATTATTGCAGCGACACGACACTCGCCATGTGGTGCTGAGACGACCAGACCTCGCTAAGCATCCTAACTCCGTAAGGGAGCCACACCCAGAGGGAGATGCATTAAAGTGAACTTCACTTTGCCTCCAAGAGACTTATTCTGCAAGTTTGTGAAGACTTTTAACATTTTGCATGAGTGAGACAAAAGCTGCACCATTTGGTCCTCATGAAATAGATAAAGCACTTAGAGCTAAATAAGTCGTCTTGAAACTAATGAGTTTTGGTACGGTACCACTAGACTAGGGGACATCTGTTACACCAGCGCTTTTGTCTCCTTTTTTTCTGAGCACTCGAAATGTTCCCTTAAAGCTGTCCACCTGGAAGTTAGGAAATGAAACTGGATGATTCTGATGCAACTTCTCATTCACAATATAAACTGTATGTAAAAGTGGGAACGAACAATGATATGTCCTCCATTAAGATGTTGTCTACCATTTTAAATCGTCAAGTCACATTCATTTTATTGAACAGGTATGTGAGGAGCGAGGAATGCTCTTTCATCAATAGAAAGAATTTGAAACTAGTGATTAAGCTAACCTGAGGAGTCGCTACTTGCTAGTCATTAGAAGGAATGCAGGTTTATGGCACTGACCAAACTGACCAAAATCCAAAGTACTGTCAAATGGGGCTCAAATGTTACTTTACTCTCTCTGGTGCAGAGCTGGGTTGTAAACCCTCTGCTATTATTGGCAGTTTGGACTAAACTGACCACTGTTGGCCATAAGCATTGGGAAAGAAAACCACCAAACATGCCTATGCTGGTACACATTGGGTAGCGTGAACTCTGGGGATATGTGGTTAAGGGCAAATTCTTTTTTTTCCATTTGGGCCTCAAGCAGGTATGCATACCCATATGGGGCTTGAACTCAGAAAACCCTTGTGGGGATCCAAATTAAAAAAAAACTGCTGTGAAGCCTGCATGAAGTAACTGTGGATTTGTCCTGTCCACACAGCCCCACCATGTGAGGCCAACATATGTCCGACATTTCTTAAAAGTAAGGGGCCCACTGTGGGGCTCGTGGGTCTACATAGACTGGTCTCACATACACCCCAAAGGTGCACATTTGCTAGAAAGGTGCAGTCATTAATCTAGTTAAGCTTCGGTTGCTCAGCTGATACCTGTCCACTTATGTTCCCTAATTATAGCAAGCTAAAACATTCGCTGCTCTCTTTCTATCTCACTGCCAGTCACTCCTCACACCAGGAACAGTGTGTGTGGTAGTGCTGCTTTTATTCCACAGTTGTTTGTCTCTGTTTAAAGTCTGTTATGACCTTTGTACATAAACTGACCAGCTTTAAACAATAAATTTACCTACTGGCAAATGACAAACAAAAGACCTAAATAGCTTGGTACTTAATTCATAAATTTGTGGAAACCAAAACAAAGCTGGGAAAACAGTACATTCGCTGGGTCACTTAAACCCCTCCTGCCTCAGTAAATGTTAATTCTGCTCTCTGTCTCAGCAGGTTGAGTAAATCAAACCATTGTGTGTTTACAGCTGCATGGCCTCCAAGTAGTGTAGAAGATCTACTATTGCAAACTGATGTTTTTCTTGCAGAACTTCTCAAACTGCCATCATGGTATTTAGTTCTGAGATAGCAGTGGTTCAGAGAGACTTTTAGTTAAGCCTCTAGCATAAAAGAGTTGGTCTGAAGGTAGAAAAGATAGAGAGGGCATTTGCTTAAATGTCACCTAGTGTCATGGGGCAGACAAATAGTACAAGCTCCCCATCTTTTTTCTGTAGAAAGTGAACATGTCATCCACTCAGCTCTTCACAGTAATACTTAGAGATCTGAAAAACTGCTGCTCTGCTTCTTTTCAACAAAATCTATGTTAGTATGCAAAGTATCCAAGAACAAAGCAGTGGATGTGCTGCCTTGTGGTTCCTCTGACATCTCTATCTGACTTACATCCACGTTTTCTTTTTTCCTGATGGTGTAAATAGTCCCTAAGGAGTTTTCTAAAGTGTACGAGGCACTGTACAGTTGAACTATGGAAAGCCATATATCACCCATACCATAGCTTTTACTCTCAGTTATTTGAACAAGCAAACCTGTGCATTCCAGTTATTTCCATTTCAACCCCTTAAGCTACATATCTCATCTGAAGAGCTATTTTTGTAGGCAGTGGAAGAGGCTAGAACTTGAGTCTTGTTTGATCC